GAGGAACGAAATTAAGGATGAAATAGCTACAATATTATTTGCGCCTGACATCTGTTTTCTGCTTCATGAAACTGTGTGCAAAAATAGCGTCCAAGAATTGACAGAAGATGCACTGTTCAAAACGGCGTTACACAAACAAGTGACGAAAAAAAAGTCTGCGAAGGGACTGCTTTAAACCATCGGCTTTTTGGGGATAACTGCACGGCAAAGTGATATTTCCTTGCTACAAGAACAAAATATTTGCCTTTGAAACTGGGACTGTGTGACAAATGGGGAATACGTTACTTGAGATACCACAAGAGATTATCTGTTGTTAGTTAGTTAGTTAGTTAAGTGTTCTTTTTGAAGAATGTAATCGAAACCACGAATCGGGGTTAAAATTACTGATAATACTGTAATGATAGGAGAAAAATGCTGTTCATAAAATCTCAGTCACTCAAAGAAAACCAGGAAAACATTTCACAATAGCAAGTTTGTAAGAAGGATAGAGGAGCATCACTCAGAATGTCCAGAGTTCTCACCTAGGGCGTACAGACAGCCGTGGAACGCGACGCAAGAAAAATTGGAACGCCCAGAATGCATTGGTGCAACGAACGTCCACTGGTCGGTGTCCGGGTTGTAAACTTCCACCGAGTTTAGAAAACCGTTACAATTATTTCCACCAGCGACGTATATTTTGTCTGTAAAAACAAATTAGCTATATGACACAGACTGTACACATATTTGGTGTACGCAGAGGCACTAAAGTGGTCCGTGCAAGGCACAAACCTGGGACAATCCGTATTTAAATTTGTAAATCTATTAATGATATTGTATTAAATGTCCCCCTTCGTGTCACAGAAACTGCACAGACACGGCTGTCTCTGTTCATCTGTTTCTTTGTTTCTAAAGCAGACAATAAGCGTGTTTAACTAATAAAATTTAATATAAACAGTATAAAGTGCATAATTAATGCATAATGGAAATGATGGTAAGTTACACTTCTGCCTAACGAATTTATTAAATTTGGTGCCACAGGTGTAAGGTACGAGCTGCCAAGCGGTGCTCTACATTTATAATATAATGTGCTATTAACATGAGATTATTAACTGTCTCAAAAACATATTACATCTGTATTATATGAGAGCCAGTTTGATAGTTTGATGGTTGTTTGCATTCACTCCTTGTGTACACTACAAAGGCAGAAGAGGACGAACAGAGACAGCTTACAAGAGCAGAAGAATCCATTACGCACTCAGAACTTCAAGCCATTGCAATCTGTGAAATAACGTAGTATGTAGCACGGATAAAAGAAAGAGATAATAGAAGGATATGGGACAATGGAGTGAGGGAATCTAACATCAAGAACGAAGAGGAATGCCTCAATGACGAAGGCATAAAGTTCGCCTGAAACGTCGGCAGAAATCAAACGACAGCCATCTTCGTACTCGGCACCGCGAGAACTCAAATCTTGCGATTCCTTCAACCGTTCTTGCGTTCTTACACGCGTACAGACAGACAGACAGACGCCTCGACTTCTGCACTAATTCACACATTTCTGTTTCACAGCTTTTACGAACCATTCAGCACAGCCGCACTTGCACTGAGTCGTCTTTTTTTCATGGGAGCGATCCTTGACCACTGGTTCGTATATTTTTCAACCGAACTGAGAATTAGACATATATCTTCACCGCCCATGGCGTACACTGCACCTCTCAGAACTGCCACCATTAAATTTTCTCTGAAACGAAAAAAGTACACGCTCGCTATGTTCATTTATTGCTGATTCAGATTCATTTCCTCTCGCAGAACGCTATTGTTCGCTCGTCATTGTTAAATCATAATTCAAATGAATTAACAAGCAAATCGTATTCTTAAAACCAATATTGGCGCAAAAGTCCTCCTACCTATTCACACTTTGCATGATGCTCCTGTATGTGAGTGGTATAATTTTACAGCCCCTGCCCACAATTATATCTTGACTAAGAGAGCAACTATCAGCTTTTGAAGAAGGACTCTGTTCCAAGGATTTCCTTAGTTACCAAGCTGAATCTTACCTTCGTTTATTCATAGGCGCCACCTCGCGGCATGTCTTCGTAAAAGCGTTGAAGCAGCAACATGAGCTTAAACATCCAAAGCCGCCGTCGCCACCACCGATAACGTAAATGTCGAAACCGACTACTGCCGTGCCATGGTCACGTCGCAGACCGATCGAGCCGACCGCCTCCACCTGCAGGAACGACAGGTTATGGGTTTATGTTTCTTTGGGTCACTTGGTCTATTGATTTGAAGTCCTTACATTAGAGTCCAAACGATCAACCACCGGAGCAGAGGTACAACCCTCAACAGTGGACCAAAATTTCTGACATTTCAGGTTCGTACGATGGTAAAGAGAGATATTGGTGTTTTTTGACGCAAAGCTGGAGGCAGCACGTCCCCCACCCGACCCCAAACAGTGCCCCTTCTAATTCACGAAGCGTTCCCACGCAGATGGAAAACATCGACATTATTCGCTACTTCATTTATTACATTGAAATCCACACTGACGATTAACGATGACTTCGTTTCTATCTAAAATCAGGAGACAGGTTGCCATGACAGTTGATGTAGGAAGCTTGGTATTTAAGGCAAACTTCATATCCTTCGTCGATTCCTATTAGAACTTACATTGTACATGAGACTCAGCATGTGAGTAATTTATGTATTTCTTATTTTTAATTCAGTCTTTCGGTCTTCCTTTAAAAAAGGGTTCACTGCAATGGAAATGAACACGAAATAACGAGGCTAAGAGGTCCTTGTGATTAAGCTTAAATAAATAATTACTTAGTGAAAATAAGCAACAAAAGACGAAAAGTAGTTTTATCCGAGGCGTCATTTAACAAGGCACGGTAAGAGTAGAAATGCTTGTGACTCACCACACTCCACCGGTCTGCTCGTGCGTCGTAAGCTTCGATCACATCTGTAGGGTCTCCGTCGCAACTCCCACCAATAGCAAATAGAACGTCCTGTGGGATTCGCGGGCGGGCAATCCTTGGTGTCATGATGTCCTTGTCTTCCTTCGACAACCTTTTCACGTCGTCCAGGAATTTGAGCGTCTCCGAGATCATGGGTTTGCACGCCTTGTTTTCAGTCACGTACGGGTGCTTTGATACCTGTTGAACAGTTTAATGTGGACCTTATGAACTTTTAGGAAGGGATTCCATGTTCCATTGCAGAGGAGACAAGAAATTCACACATAATTTGGTTGGGAACTCACCGAAATAGAATGGTATATACAGGTAAACATGTTTTTTGGTTTATGTAACGACGCTCTTAACAAATGCACAGGTTGTGGAGAGAAGCGAAATCAAGGATGAATCGATCATAGAGAAATGTAGCAAACTGCTGCATGTTGATGATTGTGTTGAAGGCCCGGCAACACAAGAGCGTGTGATTATGGGCTCGATGTCTATTAAGAGCCATTGCATGTTTCGACCTTAATTGGTCATCATCAGGTGGTTCTCCTTAATTGTTCGAAACTAGTAGATAGGAATTCTAAATTGTAAAGACATTTGAAGCTGATAACATTTTCATGAATCCGTTGATTGTTTCACACGTATTCGTAATAGGTGAGTGGCTGAAAGCACAGGGCATTTGACCTAGAGTAGAAACATATTTTCTCTGGAGTTAAAGCGTGTGATGAAATGGACCAAGAAATATCATAAGTTGTATGGCTGCTTCGTGAGATGACGGTTAAAATATTAGAATGTTCACGCTGTGTATGATTTTGAAGTCCCTCAGGTAATTTACTCTTTGATGTAGAACGAGAGCTATCTTGCTGCACATTTCGGATATCTGTTGTCCCTATGTGGTCAATCAGCTGAAGATTATCATGCTAAGTGATGCGTGAAATTATTATAGCAGCTAAGACAAGCTTCTTATTTTGGAGGATTTTCCTTTTCAAGCTGAGTGGATGTTTGAATGTAGTTAACGGTGGGATGCTGTAGTTGAACTGAAACACGTAATGGATCTTAATAAAGGCTGAGACTGTAATAAAAGATTATAGCGCAGACGGACTGTAAAACTTACAGACAATGAATAAAAGACGATTGTTAACTCCAACCACATATCTGCATAAAGGACGAATCGAATATTCGTTTTGAAAATACGCAAACATTTGCGAGCGTGTTACCAGCGGCATCCCTAAGGTAGTTATTGTAACCATGGTAACTAAGGGAATCTGGGGATTTCTTACGCAGCAAATTTTGCACGGTATAAGACATTAAAATCATTCTATACTTTTCAAATTGTAAATGTAAGATTTTAACCAGAATTGGAATACGCCAACAGATTCTGTTAAAGCTCATCAGTATTAAATCTAATGAACATCTGGTTAGACGTTCTCGAGCTGGAACTGCGGACAGACAGACGGGCTTACGCGTGACGAAGAAAAAGGCTCACAATTTGCATTAATTGGTTACGAACGTGTGAATATTGAATTGGAAATGCGGGCTTTAAAATATCCTCGATTTTGGGGGCATACTGACCTTCTCCTTGAAAAACTTTGCGTCAAGTAGTCCCAATCTGACACCCTTCAAAAATCCCGCGATGTGACCTTTCCTGTTGTTGGGGTCGTGGTTGATCCACTGGAGAACGCACTCCCACACAACTCTCTCGTCCTTCACGTTCAGCTCCCTGGACCCGATTATCGCATGCAGATCCTCTGCAGACAGTTCCATCAGTTCTTCGCTCTGCTGAGACACTTCCAGGAAGTGGCGCAAAACGAAGCGGAAAGCGCAAGTCTCGAGGTCGACGCAGAAGTGAGACCTGCGACAGCGAGGGTAAGAGCCGACTCAGAATCGATCTCCTTCGAACTCTGACACATTGAAACACTGCAGCAAGAACTGGATTCTCAAGCATTTGCACACCATAGTATTTCGCCCCAAGATTTTACCTTAGCCGTGTGAATCCCGAATAAGTGACACTGAGAGCAGACACGTGGATAGGCAACGATGAGGGACGTTCCGTTTTACCGGCTCAAAATAGAAAGTTTTCGGCTCTGGAGGTTCCCAGGCAAAGCCCGCTCGTCCTCGTGATAAAGTTATAGGTTGAAACAAGGGCATGGCGTACGCAAGTGAAGAAGGCAATGAGATGAGAAGTGTTGAATTTTGAATTATGGCGAAACGACATTGTGTTAACTGAGTGTGGGAATCACGGGTCGGATAAGCCGATAAGTCGGATGAGCGAGGGGAAGGGGAACGTGGTCATGGATATGGAATAAATAAGTAGAGACTCAATACAGACTTTCCTTGGCGACGGATGATGCGGGCGTTTCGCACGCACAAGTTGACGTCAAAAGAGTCACTCGTGAGCGCTGTTCGAGGGAGTCCCTGTATTAAAACAGTTAATTTATCTGTAATTCTGAAGATTCTCTTGCTATGTTGTCGTGAAGAAGAAGAAGAATTAAGGGTTCAGCTTTTACGTGTTTGCCCGATAATAACCAATTATTTAAAAGTCCAGAAGAGTTCATAATAATCAGCAAAATCTGGGTGTGAGGTTAGATCAATGAACTGTATCGCGTGGACATCGCTTTAAATACTCTCGTCGGTAGAAACCGATCGCAACCGATCTGGTTGAAATTCGGTCGCTTAATGCGGGAATCGGATAATCGAGGCTCTGTTAAAAGAGGTTTTGCTGTATGCAGAAAATGTGGGGCTGAATGTTCACTTTCATATTGTGAGGATTATGAAAGAAGCAAGGAATTCCGCAGAGAAATAAAGAAAGAAAGAAGAAAAGGAATTCGAGAGGAAGACAGATTTAATTATGACCCTGCAAGAGGTCGTGATTAACGTTCTACATGGTGAAATTAGTCATCTGCTGGTCATAACGACGATCAAAACATGTACAGGTAAATCAGAACATTTAAATTACAGGGACAAGTGCAAAGCTGCTTCGCCGCAGCGACGAAGGCTGGCGTCACAGCAAATGACAAATGAACATTAATTACCTTGCGAAGTGCATGATGTCGATACAGTTGCCGACGTCCATCGCGTCCTTCAGGAAGTCGCAGCAGAGTTCTTTAACGCCTGGTATACACAAGTAGTCAGCCGTCACGAGCAGCTGACACGCGTTATCGGAGTGGATGTCCACCGCCCGAAAATAAACGTAATTCAGTATTTGGGTCATCACGTCTGAGCTGACCCCGTGGAGGATAGTATCAGTCTCCTCACTGGCGTGCAGCGTTGTCGTGAAAAGGTTCCTGAAACGTAACGAAGCAGTCGTCGATTTGGAGAAACGGCGAGCAGAAAATTACAAGTCATGCGGATAAACTTTATGATTTTATAACTCACGTAGCCAAATAACAGTATCCTTTCGTCAATGTTGTGGATGAATTTGAATACTTCAAAAACTCCCAGAATGTGTACTAATGGGACCAGATTAACTCCGAGGGTGTGAAGAGCTTGCGTAGGCTTAACAGAATATAACTTACAAATCGGACAGCAAGCACCTCGTTTCTTATATAACCTTGACTCCTTCAAGAGATATCTGAGGTTATAATAACTACTACAGAAATTTTAAAGCCAACCAGCAAATTAAGACAAATATTTCAACATACATCACGAGCTGTACATTCCACTGAATCGTAATATGAAATCTATTTGTTCTGCTAACACATTCTCCCGACAATAAACAACTTAAGAGAAAAGACGATGTTTCTACATGGCCTTTAAAAAGCGATTACCAACCAGGAAACAATTTTATATGACAAATTAAGTGTTTTGCAGTGCAACATTTATTTGTCGGAAAATTGAAAGAGGGGCACAGCTTGTAACAAGACATGAGAAACGTCTGTTGGAAAACAGAAACAATGGTTCACGGTTATAATTCATTTCTCATTTCAAGAACGCACAGCATCTTTATTTAACACACAAGATGATTAACGTATGCACAAATTCTCGAACGATTCTCTCCTACCAATGAAACATTTCTCGCGAAGTTCTTTGTTACAGTTTATTATATTTCAGACAGAGCAGCTTTCAATGTTACGGGCAATGGAGTGACAAAGTTGCATTACCAACTTCCTTCTGGACTTAGTCGGTCGTCTTTATGTATTAAAACCAAGACTTTTGGAAATGGATTCTAATTCTCCCTCCAGATTGATTGACTGTCACCTTGGTACAACCGTACTTAAAAATTAAAACAAAATACCACCTACGTCTTCTGGGAAATTGCGTCGTGTTGTCTCGTAGAAATTATCGGACGTTTCAGAGGTTCTTACTGCCTCCATCATCAAGGAAAGAAGGCAGTAAGTACGTCTGAAATGTCACTCAGTTTCTACGGCGCAACGACCAGAAGACATTAATTAGTCTTCTTCCTCACCGCCGTGATATTTCATGAAAATGAGAAAATAATAAAAGAAAATTGCCATATAAAATTCAGGTTTCTGCAACAGAAGGGGTATAACATTTTACATATGAATTGAAGTCCATTATGTCCTTAATTCACATGTTAATCAACCATGTCAGCAAATAAGCAAACCTGAAATATTCGCTGCGCATCGACAGAATCACTCTGTGGACTGGAAAGACGCCGCCGTCCTCCAACCTCAACACCGCGTCACACAAGAGGTTCTCCTCTCTCAGCTCTTTCAGGGGGACCGATGCTTCGGTGCACGTGTACCTGTCGTCATCTTGAGAACGGCTGCAACTTTGGTTTGACTCCTTGTCCTGAAAAACAGTCCATCGCTGTTACAGGATTTTCTTCATACTGACGCGTGTGCACATCAACTGAGAGTGACTGAGAAGAATATCTGGTTCTGCGAGAGAGTTACTGACAAGGGAATGGAGAAATTTGCGTAATATGAAGCTTTATAGATCTGTTCGCTAATTAATAAATTGCAGGCTGTCAGATCAAGGGTGATGAGATGGGCTGGGCATGTAGTACACATGGAAGAGACAAGAAGTGCAAATTTTTAGTCGGAAGACCTGAAACGAAAAAGTCACTTGAGAGGCCTATGCGTTGCTCGGATAATATTAAAATGGATCTTAGGAAGGTGGGAAATGAAGGTGTAGATTGACTGCATCTGCTTGTGGATGTGGACAGAGGCGGGGTCTTGTAAACATGAACATGAAATTTCATGTTTCATAAAAGGCGAGACATTTGAGAAATACCTGTTGGGATTCAACACAAAATGACAAAGCTGTAAGTGTGACATATAACTATCTAACCAACTAACTACCTAGACGGCTTACGGAACACGAAGTTCCAACACCGAACTAACAAAAGCCCTCCACCAGACCCTGCCCTGGGCCAACAAAATCCAGTCTCCTTCAACTCCTAACTCCGATAGATCCCGCCTGAGTTTATCCTCCCATCTACGTCTAGGTTTTTCAGCGGCCTCTTCTCCTCAGGCTTTCCAAAAATACCCGGTGCACACCTCTCGCCCCATCCATGCATGCCACATGCCCCGCCCATCTCACTCTTCTTGGCTTAATAACCCTGAAGATGTGACTGATAAAGGCAATATTAAGTGATGCCGCGTGTTTGTCATTATTCGCATCAAGTTAAATCTTCTTATATGTAAACTACGTAGACATTACTTATAAAATATCAATGTAATCTCTAAAGACTTAGATGCCTCTACTCTGGTGAACCGATCTTAAAAAAATACGACAAAATATGCCATAGAAATTATGTGACCTTTGATGCAGAACCAGACAGTTAACAAATAACTTTTGTAAAAAGAAGGCTACATCTTTTCATACGCATAAACATTTCGAGTTCTTCTCTCTCTCTGTAGAACTAAAAGTGCTTAAGAGCTTACATGATTAAGGACTTTCCTGCCTAAATTACACATTTATATACACTACAAGCACAAAATGTAATTTAAATAGCCCACTTTCTTTACTGAACCAGAAGCTTCATCATCGTGTTCAGAATGCCAGCCACCGGGGTCTATCCTGAGAAAGTTGCATCCAGTTCGCCCCATCGAGTCCCATCTCCCTAAGGTCCATCTTAATGTTATCCTCCCACCTACGCCGAGGTCTTCCCAGAGGTCTCCTTCCTTCAGGCCTCCCAACCAATAGCTTGCAAACAGCCCTCCCCTGCTCACCTCACCCTAACAACATCGGTGCTCATCATGCACTTTTCTCTATTATCTGTCTCACTCCCGTTTTGGGTCCAAATATCTTTCTTCCTCAACACTCTGATCTCAGAGACCCTCATTCTATGTTCCTCCGTGAAAGTGAAAGACCAAGTTTTGCACCCATACGGCACAACTGGCAAAATTACGCTTTGGTTCATGCTAATCTTAATTAAGACTTTCCTGTCCCTCTGGGCTGAAAAAAGATTAGTGTGATAAAAGTTTGCCATGACAGATTGCACAAACTTTCTAGTATTTGTAAACTATACAAAGAACGCCACCAGGTACTTTGCAATGTAAATATGCCAGAATGTGTAGCAAAGCCAACAAACTATAATTCCAAAAATACTGTTTACCATACTGGAGAACATTTATGTTCCAATTGCTCTCTTTGCTATTTTTCATATAAAACTGGCTGTGAAGTTCATTTATTGTAGACTCATGTTTGTATCAAAATTTGTAGTAGATGGTCACATTTCATTAAATGTGTTACCTAATAAAGTGTACACATTATGTCATGCCATGGAAACACTGCTAACATGACATTAAGGGACAACCCTCTACTGCTGTTTGTAGAAAGAGTCCTTCGTGAAGAGTGGAGTATGTAATGAATTCTTCATGATGAGATGTTCAACTGTTTGTGTATGTTCAATGCTCTCCATCACGTTATAGGATTATAGCAAATCAACCCAATGATAGAATTACATAAATGTACCTCCTGCATACGATTCTGTGTATTCATTCAGGGGGAGGTTTGTTGTGAAAAAAGTGACAACAAAGTCCTTATGCCATGACGGCGTATTTAAAGTCTTACCCCAAAAAGTAATATTCCTTTCCAAGGTTTTTGTTTTCCAGTGAACACATGTGGAAACTTTATGGGAACTTTCTTAGCTCCTTCCAGCCCAGCCACATCTGCTACCATTATGGCTTTCTCCAGCTCGGTCTCTAACTTCTTTTCGTAATTATTCCTGTAGAAAAAATCAATAAAGTTGTAAGAGAGAAAGAACATTTTTTTTCTATGACAAACACTTGTACAGAGGATCTTGTGTTCTGCTGACCAGGTTAGACTGGCTGTTCCAGAATCAAAATACCCGCACAAGTACAAAACTTATTCATAAATATTACAGTCTTGCATGCAAAAATATTAATCCACTGATAATTAAAACAAAAGTTTTCACCTACTTTGAACCACTTTCTCCAGCCTTCGGTGGTTTCTTCCCTTTACCCTTTGTTATGTATGCGTTCCATTTCTTTCCTATATCCCAATAAACATTAAACTTGGTCCTGATGCCCTGGTTTGGTCTCGCCCTTTGAGCTTCATCTGCAACATTTACATAGGACCCCTTTATATTATTGTGTGCATCAGTTGTGAGTTTTGCCTTAAAGTCCTCCTAAGCCCTTATCGCTACGCCACAGTACAGTTAAAGTTGCCTCTGTGCATAAAGATCATGTCGTGCAAGCATACAGGGCCTTGGAGGTCGAGCTCCATATATTCTAGACCTGAACAGTAAACAGTGGTGAGTAGTCAGCTTTATGGTGCAGCCACTTTACTTCCAGGATCCAATGGACAGGTACTTGGGCAGATTTAGAGAGAGAGAGAAAAAAGTTCCAGCCCCTGCCAATTCTCTGCCTGCAATGTTATCAACCTGCACAATAGTCTTATTAAAAATTATTAAGTATTTACAATGTAACATGAAGTGACCCAAAGTTCAAACATAAACCAACTGTGCTGAAAAGGAAAATAAAAAGAACCATTGAGTAGAAGTGAGAGGAAGAGACAATGATGCTTTTACAAACCATATCCATCAATAATACTATTATAACAAAATCAAACTGAATCTAGCATAATGAAAACTGAATGTAAGAACTGTGATTACAAGATTCACAAAAAATTACATTATGGAATTCGGAAGAACCATAGTGAACAGCCGAAGTTAAAACATCCATTAATCACGACATTTTTTTATACCTATCACTATGGCCAAAAAGTATGAGTAACCAGTTCAGCTGGCTATAAAATATGCAGAACATAAAAGTATAGGGGAGGAGGACTTTGATACGTGCAGAATTTATTCTATTTATGCTATTCCTACAGTTCGCTACCATTAATCCCATCCAGTGGACTCAATATGAAGTCTCGTAATGTGCAGGAAGTACAAGACACTTTTCTACTCTCACATCTGACTGCTGATCAATCTCAGAATTCTGATCTACATTGGGTCCCATAAACTTCTTTTGGGTCTTAAAAATACTTGTACATTTTAAGACTGTCTCAAAACTTTATATTAATAAATTGCAAATTTGTCTCAACATACATTTCTCTTCAAGGTCATAGCTTTCTGCAGCATCTTCATACAGTTTTACTGTCTCCTTATGGTTTTTCTGTTTGGCTTCCTGGTTTGCCTCCCTTACACACCTACGTGCTTTCTGCAGAAAAAAGAAAGAGAAAGAATCTCTGGTAAACATTTTCCAAACTCACAGGAATTAACATACAAGAGAGACAATCTTTTTAGGTAAACAAGAGTTATACATATGATGCCCTTTTGTTACAGCGTTAGATCAACATATCAGATATACATGTGGCTTGGTAGTTCAGTTAAAATAGTACATGGCTGAAACTCTTGTTCTTTCACTATTAAAATTACAACACAGCCACACCCAACCAAGTTGGTTTGTAGTTAAAATGGTAGTATACCTTTTGTCAGCAATTAATCAAATACATCCTCTTATGCATAATTAACTTTTTAAAGACAGTTCTGATCCAATTATCATTTTGTCATCTAGGAGCTAAACAAAGAAGAAAGGTCAGATGAACTAGCTAAATGTACTTCCACTACAAAATTAATTTAACCCTTTCCATGCTACATGTAGCACTGTAAATAAAGTTGTGAGGACAGCTGGGAATAAGCTCATAACAAAGTGGTCATCAAGTGCCTCAAAAATGGCTTCAGCTAAGGTCCAATCCTTCGATTTCCACAAAGCATAGGGAATGTTTTAAGCTAAGTAGCCACCAGTTCCTCATGAAAACCCCTGCACTACAGAATGAACCGGTTCCACATTAATGTTAAATGAAAGTCATTTCGAAGTACAGTCACTCCATTCATAAACGTGTATATTGAATTTTATTTAACCTTTACCTAATAATCAAAAAAAAAAGTTACCTGCGTTGAAGTTCCTTCTGCCATTCCAACACAAGTAAGCGAGAAAGTTCTAAAAATATAAAGAAAGCAAAAATTAATTTATATTAGCATGTAAAATTGCCTGTTGTATTTCTTACTAAAATAAACCTTGGTAGTTATCAAACATGGCAGGACAGCAACACGAAATTAAAAGACATATTAAGATTGACTCTTGAGATGGAAAACCATGACTGATGTATAGCGCATAAATTCTAAACCCCAAACACTACATGAAGACAATTGGTCAGTTTCATATTTCATGTCACTTCCCGGCACTCTTTACCCCAGGACACAATTCTGAAGTCTTCTGGAGAACCCCATCAGAAGAACGACAGGTTCATGAAAAACGACCACGCGGCATGTTAAAATGAAAAACTCCACACAGTGAACTCGTGTTTATCCTCAGACACTGGAAACATTTTTCAATATCCATGTGAACAAGAGCAGTATTACCATTAGAACCACGAGTGTCATCAATCACAAGCAACGGCCATGACTGCACAAGGTAAAGATAACGCCTTACTCCAATGCTGACATACAGAATGGAACTTATCTGGGACCACCTTACAGAAAGTAAGTATCTTGGAAATGTGGGAAGGCACAAAACATAATTATGAAAAAAGGCACTCCTCATGGAGGAATCTGACACAGGCTTATGGGCCAATCTAACTAACTAACTTGATGGTTTACCGAATCAGAAGGTTCATCACCGAATTAACAAAAACCATCCACCAGACCCTGTACTGGGCCAACAAAATCCAGTCTCCTTCGGCCCCTATCTCCCATAGATCCTGCCTGACATTATCCTCCCATCTAAGTCTAAGTCTCCCCGGAAGTCTCTTTCCTTCAGGTTTCCCTACCAATACCCGGTGCACACCTCTTGTCCCATCCATGCGCGCTACATGTCCCGCCCATCTCATTCTTCTCGACTTAATCACCCTGACAATATTGGGGGAGGAGTACAAATTTTTAAGCTCGACATTATGCAGTTTTCTCCATGCCCGGTCGTCTTCTCTCCTAGGCCCAAATATCCCCCTCAACACCCTGTTCTCAAACACCTGCAATCTGTTTTCCTCCCTCTGAGTGAGTGACCATGTTTCGCACCCATACAAAACAACATGCAAAATTATTGTTTTGTATATTTTAATTTTCAGGTTCTTGGTCCATCTTAATGTTATCCTCAAACCTACGCCGAGGTCTTCCCAGAGGTCTCCTTCCTTCAGGCCTCCCAAACAATAACTTGCAAACAGCCCTCCCCTGCTCACCTCACCCTAACAACATCGGTGCTCGTCATGCATTTTCTCTATTATCTGTCTCACTCCCGTTTTGGGTCCAAATATCTTCCTCAA